TAACCTTCGGCTTAAAAATCAGAAATGAGGCATAGGTCCGAATGACTAAAATATCGGTTCGGATTGGCAAGTGTTTTGGCCATTTTTCAATGTTTGCCTCGAATCGGTAATGTCCAAGTCTGATTACACTACCAATTCCTTTGTTAGCGATCAGTATTTTTAAGGGAAATACGTTAATTTATAAAGGTTTAAGAACTCAAACTTTAAAATTAACTCAGTTTAAATTATTTTACTTTATTTTTATGATGTGGGATTGTAAAATTCGACTACTATGTAGTCTATGCAACACTATGTTTTTTATTAATGATCCATTTTATGATCATTCACAAAAAAATTTCTTGACCACGAAATGATCAGACTATGTATTTGTTCAGACTATTCACATGATTAACTATTCATTTATTTTAAGTTCCGTGATATTTTTAATTGTTTTGATATTTTTTTAACAATTTTTTATTGAACAATTTTATGGCTTTTAGTATAAAATGTTTAATTTAAATTTATTTTATATCAAATCAAGTCACCAATTTTAATTTAATCTTCTGCTTAATGACCAAAAATTAATACAATGTTGCTTCCACCATTAACGTTAATACGATTAGAACCATTAGAATCTTCAATATGCATCTAAATAATAATTTAATTAGACATATTTATCAGTCTTTTTTTATAATTAGTCAATAGCAACGGCTTTGACTTACAAAAATAGAAAATTTGGAAAACCATAAGAAACTAAGGAAAAAAATTTAACGTAACCTAATATATGATAATAAATGAGAAATAATTGATATTGTAAAAATTTCTAAGGCGTTAATGATATATCAGGGTTGTAAAAATTAGATAGATTGACCATATTATTATTTTATTTGTTATTTTTAATAAAGGATTTGTGACGTAATGCCATATAGAAAAAGTTTGCACAAGTTTAGCCACTGGACAGATTCGAACCTGCGACCATCTGCTAGCGCTTTCGTTCACTATATGCATGAGCTCCACCATTGAGCTACCTGGGCATCGACCAATGTATCTCTTTTTCCGTTTTAGATCGTTCAACCCCCTTTTAGATCTTTCAACTCCCTTACAATATTTTCAAAAAATCTGATTTATAAAAATCACCTCAATATCATTAATTGTTCCAACAATAATCTCTTTTTGACTAACTTGTAATAAATCTGTATTTTCTTCCTCAAAATTATACTTCATATATTCTTTAGAAATATTAGTTGAAATGCCATTCAAATGGATTTCGACAGATCTTGCCTTCAAAAAATTATTAGGGCTTCCAAGATTGAGGGAATCATATTGAATATTATTCCCACTAATTGTTATTTCGTTATATTCTCCATTAATTTCCAATTCTTTGGTGCATATAGCACCTCCATAAATGTCTTGTACAAAAATTTTGTTTGAAAAGACGATGATTTTAAATTTGTTTGTAGAGGGTCCTAAAAATCAGTGATATTTTGTGAAACTTATCTGGTGTAATTGTGTGTATATCCTCAAGAGTTAATCTATCTGAGAAGGTCAGTCTCGTAGACGACCAAGATAATAAACCCATAGAAGGTCTACCCTTTAACTCATAGAAGGTGACCCTATACCTCTTAAATTGCATGTCATTGCATGTTAAACCACCAGCACTGCACAAACTTATCAGGTCAAATTAAATCAAGTACATCAAGCCCAGCTCAAAGATTTTAAAAATATAATGTGAACCCACTAAATGATACATCATAGAGGCTGTATCTTGTAATGAACTATTTGATTAGGTGATGGTCACCCGCCAAGAGCTAATCTACTAATATAAGTCCCACTCAAGAGCTAAGTAACTAACGAAGAGCTATTCTAAGAGTAATGGGGATTTTCATGATATGACCAAAGAAGAGAATTTTAAAGTTGAGAATAGAACAATTAAGCAAAATACCAGAAGATTTCGAAGATTCTCCTTTTTCCTGTTTCGATTGATTATAAGCAAACAGTTCCTTATCAAAATCACTCCTTTTTTGCTCATCAAGAAGAATGTCTTTTGCATTATTTATTTCTTGAGAAAGTTTCAAGGCATCCGGGTCGTTTTTATTTTTGTCAGGATGGTATTTTAACATTAACTTTTTGTAGGCAGTTTTAATCTCGTCAGCTGAAGCATCTTGTGAAACTCCCAATGTTTTGTAGTGGTCAGATATTGTTTCAGCAATTACAAGTAACAATAGTAAGTGAAAAGAATGGATAAAATAATGCATGGCTTGTTTATATAAGGTCAGGAAAAAGAAAATAGCTTAAGAAAATAGCACTGAGAACGAAGAGACGATGTGTGTGTCTCTCTTTACTTGAGAGAGACTCACTCTCTTTCTTTCTCTCTCTTTTAAGTCTATCCTCATTTTAAATGTCATTTTCTTCCGCAGGACGATTTTTAAGTAAATTACAAAAAATAATTAAAGCATAAAAATTTATGATAGTGGTCAGTTTTCTGCTAGAGGAATTAGACAGTTATCAGTAAGGAGCGGAGATTTAGGAATTCAATGATGAATGTCTTTCCATTAAATGTATCCCTCGTTACTTCAAAAATTTTGTATGTTGAGTGATAAGGCATAAGGATAAGACATAATGAAAAAGACAGTTCAGTGATGGTCAATTAGGGAGTTTTGATTTCCTGAAATGCTGTCTAATTCCCATGTTCTTACATAAGCTTTAAATCGAAAAAATATTGTAGGACTAAAATATATTCAAGCGGCGACTTAGCCATAATATGATAAATTAAATAGTAGCTCAAAAATTATCCATGACCCATCGCAACTTGAGAGAGTCTCAAGTCGAAATGAAGATTAAAACACAAATTTGTTTAAAGAAAGAATTTAAAAAATAATATAAAATTTTATTAGCTATAAAAATATGAATATTATTTAAAATAAGAAACGACAGACAAAATAATTTAATAAATATGACAAAGTGCAATTTTGAAATAAATTTATAAATGCATTCACATGCTTTCCTGTCTATTAGCGCTATTTATAAAAAGGGAAAAGGATGTTTTGAAATCCTTATAATTAACAAATAAAATTTTTTAGAATTTAACAAAAGCGAGAGTTTTGAGTTGTCTGAACTTGTAGAAAGAATATAGTAAAGCGGTTTGTGTCGTTTCGAATTGACACTATGTGAAGGTGATGTTATATGGAGAGTCAAGCAACATACTGCAATAATGAAAAAATCCACATAACTCCGCCTCCCAGCGGTAGATAATATTCCTATGGCATAATTTAAGGGTTATTTATCCAAATATGTATACACAATTTCATTAATTTTGTTGTCATCCAACTCCGCTCGAGGAGCTCTTTCAAGTAATAAAAAATTGCTATATAAAAAAAGAAATACATAAACTAAGAAAGGACTCTTCATTGAGTGTTAATCATATGAATTAATTAGCAGAGATGGGTCAGAACAGTCTGAGGTGTCGGAAATCTGAAGAGCCGGAAATCGGAATGGCTCAAAAGTCGGAACTCTGAAATTGGAAATTAAATTTTTTTTTGGAAATCGGAATTCTGATCCACCTCTGGTAATTAGGAAGAAGTTTTATATCCAAAATTAACCTCTTTTTTTACAAGTTTACATAAAAAGCAAAGGAGAAAAAAAAGTGAAATAAAAAATATAAATTTCTAAAATCTCTTTAATCAAATAATTTTTGAAAACACGAATAAAATTGTACGTTTTAATCTTTAGAATGAATTAATATCGTGTTATTCTTACCATTAATTCGAATTGTATTAATACCAGAAACATCTTCAATATGAATCTAAAAATAATATAAAATAAATAAATATAACGAACGTTTCTCTAAATTTCAAGAAAATTTAAAAATTTCTAAAAATTATTTAGCAACGATGCTTCTTATTTTAATTCATTCCTCTCTTGAATTTTGTTTTCGAATGTTTTATCTCATATAACTATGAGAGTGTTACTCACACACATCAGATTAAGGATCAGAATTTATCCCGCAGGATTTCCACATTGACACGGATGTAGAAATCTTCGCCTACATTGTACAATTCTACATTGGAACAGTTATTCTTCGGAAAACCCGTGGACATAACAAAAACGAAAAAACAAGATTTATTTACAGTGGTGGAAAAAAGTATGGAAGCACTAGAAAAAATTTTTTTAATTCTTATTTTTTCATACGTTCTATATAGCAATCGAAAGCTCTATTCGTATCTCAGTTGACATGTTTCTGCATTTTTCATGAAAATTGGCCGATAAATCCGGATCTACCGGATATACAAAATCCCATATTTTCGGAAAAATTTTTCGAAAATTAACAAACCCATTTGATTCATATTTTTGTGAGTTTTATAAAATATAGCCTTCTTTATCTCACCTCAATTTTATTTGAAGCACTATTAATGCATGTAATCTCATTGGTTGGTTTCAATTTTTTAAATTCTTCAGAAAATGTATATTCATTAATACTTTTTGGGGTAACCGTGTTAACCGCACCATTTACGCCGATTTTAACCGATTTTCCTATTATTATATCTTGATACTCATTTGCATGATTAATTTCAATATTGTTTCCATATATTTCTAGATTATTCTTAGTCCCATTTATGATTAGGTGAGTAGCTTCTTTAACTTCACTTATGGTCTGCACAAGAATTTTGCTTGAAAAAACGATAATTTTCAAAGGGTTGTCAGCTGTTGTTATATCTACTGAACTGCCTCTCGTAGAGCATCCGGGTGCTGTCGGATTTTTATCAAATGTGTTTGTTCCATATGTGCTTGTAATAGTTCCAAAATAATTCACAACATTTTGGAAATATCCAGAAACAAAATCAAGATTTAACGGAGACGGGTTTGCTTGTGACGACGAACCTTAATTTATAATTTTATTTATATTTACTAGAATAGGTAGATGATTAAAAAATAAAATATTCGATAGATAGCCTACCTTGTGTTCCTACGGAAGAAGTTCCACCAGCCGTAGTCTTGGATGATCTACCAAAGGTTGTTGATGATCAACTAGACGTTGCAGATGATCTCTTAGATGTTGTAGCTGATGTTTTAGGCGTTGCAGCTTGTCGACCATGTGTTGCAGATGGTCTGGCAGACGTCGAAGCTGCTCTATTAGTTGATGTTGATCCTGCTGACGTTGTAGATGATCCACCAGTAGTTGCATGAGATGATAAAGATGTAGGCAAACTTTTATCATATTTCGTGCGTTCTTGCTCATTAGTAAGAATTCTATGGGCCTCAATTAATTTTTTTGTAATTGCATCGGCATTAGGGTCATTTCTATTTTTATCAGGATGATGTTTCTTCATTAATTCTCTGTAATTAGTTTTTATCGCTACGGTTGACGCATTTTGTGGAACATTTAAAGTTTCGTAGTGGGTAGGAGTTGACTCAACAATTACGAGAAAAATAAGCCAGAAAAAGGAATGAAAATTAAAATGCATCTGTAAATTAGAAAAAATATTTTTTAGAAAAAAATTGAATTTTAAAAGAACGTTATTTTAAGCTTTGCCTTTTTTTCGGGCAGCTAGTGTCACAATAGGGTCACTTCCAGAAAAACATCTTCAGTAATTTACATATAAAAAATATAAAATTTTATTATTTATTAAATTAAAATATTGTTTAAAAATAAGAAAAGGCCAATAAATTATTCATAAAAAAGTGCAATTTTGAAATAAATTCACATGATTGCCTGTATATGTATAGCATTGAGTGGAATGAAGGAGTGAATAGCTAACATTGATGTTTATTAGACAAGAGACTATCTTGGCAATGGGGAAGGTTGAAGGAGGGAGGGCAAGGTGGGAGGAAGGAGGGCTAGGTGGGGAGGTGAAGAGGGCCTATCTTGGCAATGGGGAATGTTGAAGGAGGGAGGGCTAGGTGGGAGGAAGGAGGGCTAGGTGGGGAAGTGGAGAGGGCCTATATTGGCAATGGGGAAGGTTGTGAGAGTGTAAGAGTTTCACTGTCTACTCGCTCCAAGAGCTCTTTGATGTAATAAAAAATTACTATATGAAAGTTACATTTTTACTACGGATAAACTGTTATTCTTGTGTACGTCAACATCGGACATCTCGGACATAATTGGAAACCTCCGGTTGTTACAGACATTCGCTTCCGTTTTCTGCCGAATTTCTTTTTATGGCCTTTTGTCTTTTTTAAAATGCGGCATCTTCCATATTATTGGAGATGTATCCATATATGGAGAGGCATCCCTTCAGCATCCCCCCCCCCATCTCCCATATTAAAATGCGAGGCATCCCCCCCTCCCCCCATCTCCATCTCGCATCTCTCCATCTCTCGCTTTACAACTCTTCATTAAACATCAATTCCATCTGTCAGATGCAATTAATAAATGACACGTATCCATAAGCGTTATAGACAGAGAATCGCGAGAGATAGCATTTGACATTTATCGTCTAATAAAGAGAGTCTATTACAAATACATACATTTTATTTACAGAGGAGGGTAATTTACTTAGAGAAAAATATTTTTTATTAATCCTTGTTTATTCAAAAAAATTTATTTTTGTGTATTTTAGAATTATTTGTATAGGGAAAACTTTCCATTTGGCTAGGAATATTTATCATAGCTAGCCGATCCACAAATTGCGCAGAAATTTTTAGCAATTAATTTTTTAGAAAACAGTATTGTAAACATCTGAAAAATTCATCAAAGCTTCCCTAGCAAGCAGTAACTAACACCTATCATCTACGTGTGAGTTAAATTGCTCCTTGTCTCACTCATTAACTCACACCCATCTCAAGATTCAAGGTCATCAAAAATTTCCAAACAATTATTTTTTTCCAAACAATTATTATTTTCTTGATTTACGCTTTGTGTCTCGAGATGACTGTTGGGGAAGCCAGAAAGCCCCGATTAACTTTATAAAAAGATGGCTTAAACAAATGTTGATGCATTTAAATGACATTAAGTTTTTTTAATTTATAGAAAATAAATTTTCTGAGGTTTTAATCGTGTTTTTGGAATAATTTTAGATATGCGCAAACCAAAATATTTGTTTCTTTTATTAATCTTCTTTAACCTTCTCTCCCAAATTAAAACAACTTCACCATTTGAAATACTACGTATTTCAGAGGATGCAACTATTGAAGAGATAACTAAAGCTTATAGAAAATTATCAATAAAATATCATCCAGACAAAAATCTGGATAATCCAGGATACGCACATGAAAAAATGTCGGAATTAAATTGGGCTCGTGAGAAAGCTTTAGAAGTAGCAAATAATAAACTGGTGCAAGGTGCTGCTTCATCTCAAGTGAATCCGGGAAGCTCTACATGGCATGCCGGAGGATCATCCCAGCAACAAGCAAATGAATTCGGTATTTTGCATTCAAGAAAATCTCTTGCGTCTTGCGACTGTAAGATAAATGAAAAGGTGAAAAAGTCGTATCGTAGCGATCTGTATTCATCTCCGATTTTATGTAATTTTCTGTTGCAAGACACAAAGTATGGAGATTCCTTTACATCATCTATCTAATTATTTTTATTGGGATTGATCACCAAATGTTCGGGGATATTATGTCGGAGTAAGGGATTTGTATTTTCTTTCGGTGTAAGTGTTACGACCCCGCTTACGTAGAGGAAACTAACATAACGTTTATCGCACAAAGAAAATACAAAGAAGATGAAGTTGTGGTAGGATGAACTAAAACTGAGAGACCGAACTAACTATTAGCTGGGTTTTTATACTAGACACTTTAAGGGCTGACGCCATTATACAACAGTAAGGCTTGGGGGTACCATACTTTTACCACGTCCGCAAATGTTTGTCTGCAAATTTTTTCTTTTCCTTCTCCTTCGTTATTTCCCTTACCATATGTAAAGAAGATAAATAACCAGATAACTTGCCGAACGTCATTTCAAATCTTGAAAGGGTAAAACACGGTCCACACAAGATTCGTTCGACAAAACTAGGTCTTAAAGACCGAGTTTTAGGGGCCGAGTTTTAGTTATTTATTACAGAAGTACACTTGCATCCCAGTGTTTACTTGATTTAACCCCCAATTAAACTTTATTAAATTGTGATTTTTTAAAGGAAATTTTAACCAAAGTATGGATCCGAACAGGATTAATATAAATTCATCGCATTTTAAATTCTGGGTATTTCATGAGCGAATTGCAGTTTATGGCGAAAATTGGAATGTATTTACTAAAAGAATTATTATCAATGGATACGGGAACAAAATAAAAATTTTTGGAAATAATATTATTTTTTCTGAAAATTCTTTTTCTAATATTGCAGAAATAAATGCAAGATTTGTTAAAATAAATATAAATGGCGGGCCTAATGAATTCTATAGAAAGAATAACAAGAAATACACTTTCAACTTTGCAGATTTGCAAACTAATCATGTACTTCATGATTATACAATAGAAGGATATGGTAATGAATTTGAGGTAAACTTTTTGGTTTTAACCTAAGTATGGGATAAAATCTTTAATGGCACAACTATAATGCAAGTTTATATTTTTAGAAGAGTCATAATAACAAATTTTTAATCATATTTCAAATTGGGATGACAGCTCGGTCTCTCGGTACAAAAAGCCAACTTATCCGAAAATGTTTTGTCCGGGCCTAAACACTGGCTAGTCTTTTGGTTGAGAGCAGACGTGGGCGAAACGTTTCGTTTCGTTTCGTTGTTTCGTATGTTTCGTGGGTTTTTTTGAGTATCGTTTCGTTTCGTCACGAAACACTTTTTAATTTGTTTCGTTTCGTTTCGTTACGAAACACCTGTGATTTTTCAACGAAACGAAACAATTTTTTAAGCCTAAACTAAGGCCAAAATCTATAAATTTTAACATTTTTTATTGAAAATTTGAAAAATTTTCGCCTGCGGCGCTGAAAAAAAAAGAATTTCGGCTTATTGGCCTTCCCAAATTGTCAAAATTTTCGCCTGCGGCGCTGAAAAAGGAAGATATCAATTACTTATATACCTTATATTACATATATCGTCCGATATCAATGACTTATATACTACAAATCCGTTTATACTACACTCCCTAATCCACATATACATATTGCTTAATCGACGACAAATTCTATTACCGGACTAGTATCATAATATAAAAATTGCGGATTTAAAATTTTTTGTCTGCGGCGCTTAAAATAAAATTTTACTTGAAAAAAAATTCAATTTTTTTGAAAAAATTGACCCCCCTCCTGATTGACCCCCCTCCCCAAAAATTTTCCTTGCTACGGGCCTGGCTTATGGGACACAATTGTTGTAAATAAACCAAAAACTAAATCATTTATAAGTCATAGGCGACTGATAAAGTATTTGAGGTCGAATAATTGCAAAATAAATGCAGTTTTGAAAATTTTTTGAATATTAAAATGTTTCGTTTTGTTTCGTTTCGTTTCGTAAGATTTTGGTTGTTTCGTTTCGTTTCGTTAACGAAACGATTTTTAAAAAATTTTGTTTCGTTTCGTTTCGTCAGAAAAAAATTTTGAGTTTCGCCCAGGTCTGGTTGAGAGTAGTGAACGACATATCTACGTTTTCGTCGATTCGCGGCGAATAACTACTTTTATTCGCGAACGACTATTTTTTAATACAAAACGCCAGAACTACGTTAATATCGATGTTTTGCGCCAAACGATTGCGAATCGACTTTTTTGTATCTCTTTTTCTCTGCTCTATCATTTATTTCCTTTCTCTTTTTCTATTAATTTTCTATGTCGTTGTCTCTCCATTGGAATTTTTGTTAGGTTTTCGTTTGTTTAAGTTTAAAAAAATAAAACAACATAATTTTATTCATCTTTAAATAATGATTGTAATGAAATAAGTGTAGAAATAGTATGTGGGTCAAAACGATTTCGTTTATAATCATATACTAAAGGAGAAAATCGGGAAAATATACGTTCACAAGAAGTAGAAGAAGAAGGAATTGCTAAAAAATGCTTAGAAATGGATGAAAGGTGTGGAATTTTCATTGAATTTTCTTTCCAAAATTTAAGTAAATCTAGCTTATGCCCTCCCAAATTCTTACATGCAGTTTCATACTGTTCCATCTCAAAATCTATCTCAGTCCTCATTGCATTTTGACCAAAGGTAACTAGACTTGGTGAAACTAAATTTTCTATTAAACTTATTCTGGATTAAATAAAAACCGTTTTCCACGTGTGGGCGTAAACATTCCGGAAAGTTTTGTTTTGCAACATTTCTAACGGCTTTTTGTATCTAAAATTTAATAAGTCAATATTAAAATTTAAATAAAAACCGTTTCATAGTCACCCCAATGGCAGTTCGTTTGACATACTTTCTTAAGAATTCCACAAACGGCAGGATCAAGGTAAGCAGCACATCTGATGATGGAAAGACTTTCCGGATTTTCAATGAAAATTTCACTCATCTTCCTGTTAAAGGCTTTCAATCCACTTTTGGCTAACGCTGCTCTGATCAAATCATCTCCTCTTGCTTCTCCTCTCCAAGCATTTTCCA